TCGGCTTTTCCGGCGGAGGGGAGAAGAATCCCGAGAAAAATCGGAATCCAAAGGCCTGTGAAATTATTGTGGAGCTGCTTTTAGGGTTATTGGAAAGCAGGAAAGATTGATGCTTTTTATTCAAATTTTCGAATATATAACGAACCCCCCGCCCGGCTTTTCCCACCAATTGCACGGTTGCAGCTGACGCCGCCCCCACCCACTTTGGTTCCCCATTTTCACCTTCCCGCACGGCTTTTCCCACCTCCTTTTTTATACTCCATGCTAAAATTTGACATAGATTTTGAATAATTTAACTTATTATATTTCTTATACTATATCTAAAAATATTAATACATTTTTGTCTTATACAAATTATATTTTATAAAATATGATTATTAAAAATTGCATGCTTAAAATTTTTGTATTACGTTAATATCATGAAATCTTAGTAATTTAAATGCAATTTATATTATACTAGTTTGCTTGATTACTGATGTTGAAAACATGATCTGTGTATATAAATATATTCAAATATCATCCGAATCGAATACACCTCTATTTGTATTTGTATTTGTATTTGTTTAATATTCGAATCAAAACTAATATTTGAATTTGTATTTGAATAACGCGAATTCGAATCATTATATTTGAATTCGAATCACGAATCGAATTTAAAATATTTGATTTGTTTACATCTCTAACTCTTTAGGAATTTCAAAAAAAAAATTTATACAACTCAATGTAAAAATAAAACAAATCATTAATTTTACATAAACTATTGATACTGTCCAAAAAAACATAATTTATTTGAAATGTGAGCAAGTCCATGTAGCATCAAAAAATTCCATTAAATATATCACCTAACTTAAAAAGATTATTTTGGGGAAATGCTTAATTAGAAAATGTCATTTTGGTGACTCATTCTAAATTTAGATGATCGAAAATAAAAAATATCTCCCACTTAACAATCATTAGACAAATTTTTTTAGTTTTTGATGGAGAACTATCGATGAAATAAATACCAAGTATAAAGTACCAAATAAGTAATTACTCCGTACAACCTATTGAAGACTAATTTCAAGAAGCACTTTATTAGAATAAATTATTTTAGAAATTTACTTTAAATATGAAATATGAATATATACTACATTGTAACTCAATTATTAGTAAGAAAGAAATATCTCCTTCGAAAACTTTTGCACTTTTGCGGGAGGGGTGGACTATTTCGTTCCCCTATTTGGATATTTTCCCTATAAAAAGGGGTCTTCATATCAATATAGAGTTATGGACTGAAACTATGAATTATGTATAATTATAGTGTTCACTAAATTTACAATTTTACATGCATTGTATATCAAAATGAAACCTAGGGTGCATATCAATTTTGTAGGATTTTTAACAAAAAAATATATTTTATTTTTTTATTTTAAAAAAATAAGTGTCCGTTTAAATAATAAAGAAGTATTTATTTTGCTAATATATAGGTCAATGTGGACCAAAGATCGACCATAGAATTTGCCCAAAATGAAAGTCATATATTTTGAAACGCAAACTAATTTACTCACTAAAACGTACGGAGTAATATGGATATAAAGTATTCGTCTACGTATGGTTGTAGCATGAAATCAACATTCCTTTTATATTTTTCTTGTAGATAATTTTTAAAATTTGATTTCATTGTATTAATATATAATATAAATTAACACTAATTAATAATTAAAATAAATCTTATTTGACTCGAAAAAACAAAGTAGAATAAATTGATTGAGAAAGAGGGGTACATGTGTACATTAATAATAGTCCAAAGTGTCCTTATTTTTCCATATAGTTGAGTCAAGTCAGTCAAACACATACGGAGTAAACTTTTTTGCCTTATAAAAGTAGAATGAATTACTATGCCACTACATTTTGGCCAATAAAAGAAGTTGCTTTTTAGTTTTTGTTTTATTTTCTTTAAGTAAAAAGTGAATAAAAAAGGAGCGACGCCATTTATTTTTTAGCCGTTCTTTGATCTCAAAAGGCATTCCGAGGCCCCGCGGGATAGATGCGGGTATTTCGGAAAATAGATAATTAAAGTAGCATTTGAGCATACGGGCATTGGCAAAGGCAAGAAATACTAACCGAATAATACGTCAACTCCACTCCTTGTCTCTAATTTGTGACCAAAGTACAGTTTATCTTTTCTCAATGACTGTCCCGTCGAATTTGGGTAAAATCTCGAGATTGAAGCCCATCCTTATCATTTCAATTGTCTAAGAACATGAGAGCACCTCTATTTCTTAATTAAAAATTTATCAATCATATCGCTTTTTTCATCCATATCATTTCTATATCATTCATCTTTAAATACCTAATTTTTTAAACAAACATTCACAAGTAATCAATTCATTCAATAATTCATGGTTCCCTCCTTTACTTTACTTTATTCATTATTTTAAATAATAATGATTTTATTACTATAATAATAATTTTTTATTACTCATCCGTCCTTAATTTGATTACAATATTTCCTCTAATTCTTGTCCTTAAAAGAATTACAAAGTTCACATATTAACACTATTTGAACCATTTTACCCTCCCTCCTATGTACGGAGTAATAATTTGACTCGGCCTTGATTAGGGGTAATTTGGAAAAAAATTAATGATTTAACTTCTCCGTAATTTTCTCTAAAATGGAATATTGTAATCTAAAAGTAGAGAGAAGTATATCATTATAAATGAATACAAATTACAAAAAAATATTAAATTGAATAAATTATATTTAGAATTAAATTAGAGAATATAAATTGATAAAATGTACTCCTTCCGTCCTATATCTTTCTTCCCGTTGCGCAAAACGAGGAAAAATCTCAAGTTTTTTCAATCTATTTTATTTAAATATTGGTATAGAAATAAAAAATAAAACATACATATTTAAAAACTACATCAAATGTTTAACAAAACAAGTGATGACAAGAATATTTTATTTTATCATATAAGCCATGAAAAAACACAAATAAATATAAATTCCCGTGAAGTTGGAATAGTGCTCTCTGGGAAGAAAGATATAGGAAGGCGGGAGTAATATAAATACAAATTCAATAACATTAAAATCATTAAATAAAAATTATATTTTTTTACCAAAACATTATTAAAAAAGTAAAGAGATTATTAAATACGTAATAAAAAGACATTACATTATTAGAAATATAACCAAAAATTAAAATGTAATAAATTATTATTACTATAACTATTATACTATTATTATTCTTATTATAATGTGTCCAAACATGTTCAAAAGAAAAACATTTTTTTATAATTTGGGTGGGGTGATTTGTCATCATGGATGGGGTTTAAAGCTTCAAATATTTTACATCTCTCCATCCAACATATCATTCACATTAATTTAAATATTAGCATGTATCCATTTAAAAATATTGAATAATTCTGGTTTTAGAGCATCATAAGCCCCTTGAACTGCCTCTAACAATTCCTCAACTGTGTTTGGAGCACACTGTTCTTTTAAGGATTGGATGGCTCTGAAAAACCCAAGATCAAGGACATTTAAATCTGTGAAGTTGGGGGGTTGGTTACCTAAGGTAAAGTGGAAACCATTAGTGTTTCTTGCAGTTACAAATTCTGAGTCTAAACCTTGAATGTGTGGCCTAGCATTATTCTGTTGAATATGAATGTTCTTTGATAAATTTTTAGGCCACTTCTCTTGGATAGCTGGAATGACTTTATTTATAAGCATGTCTTTTGTGACTTGTTTGGTAACTGCCTTGATTGGTTTGACTTCAAAGACCTCTTTAGCCCTGTTCTTGCTCCTTCTTTTGGCTTCAACAGTTTCAGTAAAATGAAAAATGTCAATTTTTCCATCCCAAAGAACAACTCCATTATCATCAATAAGTGGTCTACCAACCACACACAAGAACATGACTTTTGTAATGAACCTTTTTGATTTGCATGTCCTATAGGGGTCAACTTCTTCAGAAAGAAGATAAAACCTCTGAGATGTTTTGGTCATAAAGAACCACTTCTCATCAATGTGCAATACATTATGAAAAGACTTGAATATAGGTTGGTGAGGCATATTCAAAGGTTCTATTTGGTCTAAACAGAATTTCAACCTAGCTTGTTTATTAGCAGCGGCAAGGTATGGTTTGATAGCATTCATGTGACTCCTAAGCATACCTCTTTTTATCCATTGATGGACAGTGGACTTTGGCTTGCCAATTACTGCTGCTAATGTTCTGATAGTACCCCACTTCCGGAGGGAGGTATCTGCAATGGCATTTACATCCATTTCTACCCTTTTCCTCCCACAATGACCTGCCATTTTGCTTCTCACATCAATGGCAACCCCCTGCTCTAATTGTTTTTTTACGATGACCCATATCTTGCTAATCGTCTGCCTCGAGACATTAAACTGTGCAACAAGCGTGTTGATCTGTCCCCCTCTGAGCTGAATAAGAACCATCAATATTCTGTTTTGAATTTCGAAGCAAATCTTCACCAATAAGTTGCCTTGTAGTTTTGTCAAGTTTTTTGGAATTCATCTATGGATTTTTGATCAATTTTGCAGGGACCCAAAAACTGAAAAAAAGAACAAGAAAAAGAAGAAAAGAGGCTGGCATAGGCAGGAGGAGAAGAAGATGATGAGAGAAGAATGAAAGAGCCAAAAGGGGAAAGTCAATGCTTTTATATAATCAGTGGGCAACGGAGGGATGACTGAATTGTTGGGGGTTTTTTGGGCGGGAAGGGAAAAAATGGAGGGACATCCAATATGGTTTGTAATGTGAATGTATTTGAATGGTTTTAATCATTGTTATGTAATGTTTGATTGGATGTAATACAATGTTTAAATAGTGTTTCTCCCCACTACTAGCAATAGTCTTCTTTTTTTCCTATTCATTGCTTGCGCACCATTCTTTTTCTTTCCCTTCTTTTTCTTTCATTAAGGACAATTTGGTCATTTCACACGGTTAGTATACCTCCCTCAAAAATGAGGGAAAGTCAAAACGTAAACATTAATACCGGATGGAGGGAGTAGTTTAATGACCCCATTGGAGATGCTGTAACTAATGCTAGACCCAAGTCCAGTTCTCTTTCCAAACATAAGTTCTAAAAAGGCCAATAGAGATATCACTTCGAAAATTGAAAAAAAAAACATTATGGTTCACAAAAGGGAGGACAAACAGGTAAGTGCTAAACAAAAAGAGAAACAGGTAAAAATTGAAAGCTCCCAACACACAGAATCTCCTGAAGAAATCCAGCAGGCAATAAAAACTGATATGAGAACGACAATGGTATTAATCAAAGCCCGGTTTAATTAGTTACTTCTTATCTTCTTTCTCTGCCTCTGCGGCCCTCTTCAGACGAGCACCAAAATGACGCTTATTCACACGCTCCCGGCGCAATTTGTCATAGGCTCTGAATGATTTCATCTCATCCGTGACCTTGACAAGCTCAATGTTTGGCTTTTCGTTCACAATAGGCAATAGAGGTCCCTGGACTTGAGTTGCATTGGCGAGTTCTTCAGGAGTTGAATCGCCAGCCTGCAAACAAGATTTCCATTAAATTCAGTAATTTCTGTTTTCTCCCAAACGGCTAACACATTCAATTAGTGGTTATTGTTTTCTCCAGTCCGGGTTTCTTGGAAACGGGCTCCCCCAACCCTACTTCTATGAGATTCTACTACTTTTGTTTGTTTGTTCTAATTGGCTATCACTCCAAATTTCACTATGCTTATCATTCCAAGAAGACTGGAAACACAGTGGCCAACCCTATCACTATGTCTAGTTCAAGGAATTAAGAAGAAAAAGAATAGAAAATGATTCTCTCATTTTCCTTACCAAATTAAGAGAAATTTGATTTTCCCTCTTAGTATATTTTGCCTCCCCATTTTCTTTTCCTCTCTAACCAAACAAGAACTATTTTCCACTTTTTTTTCTTCTCCCTTTCAAAATCTTTTAACCAAAATTAGTGTAAAGAATGAGGACTTGAGCAGAAACGACAGTTGGATAGCATTTTGTTACAAGAGAGCTCCATACAGAGAGTTTTTTAGGTTACCTTGAATTTGTTGGTGCGTCTTGGGAAGATGACTAGCTTGGCTTTGTATGTCTTCAGCCTCTGGACATTGACTTGAAGGCCTTCTAGAGATCGGTTCCTTCGCCGATGATCAACAGAAATACCGATGGTTGGGGCCAACTTCTTTGGAATACCGGCAGCCTGGTAAAACAAGAGAACAAATGAGAACAAAAAATAAAATGCATTGTGTACAAAAAAACACCCTATAGATTAACTTAATTACGAATTGCCTATTCGATAAGAGTAATTGGGCAAAAGAGCTGTAATAGCTGCAATTTCTATGAAATTTCAAACATGTAGTTCATGAACTACATATTCTAATTATTCAATTAGCAGTATAACAAACAGGCAGAGCCAAAACATCCTTTTTCAAAACCTTACAATGCCCATTCTGCTTTAACAAAAGAAGCTTATCAGTAAACCACCGTCATAGGTCAAAGCATTATCTAATATCTATACCCACCATGGCATATTATAATAGGGTGTGTAACTCATGCTTTAACATGTGGTGTAACTCTAGCAATGACTAAGAAAACACACTCCTGTGTCAATAAAACTTATACAACACTGCATTTAAATAATTACAATGGGCAGAAGATGACCAGCTGTGGGTCTAGGGAAAATAATTGCAACTTATACATGTATATATTTATACACACACACACACGCATTGTAATTAATTTAGTTGCCTCAGTATACTTTAAATATATTGATAATGGTGTAAAAATAACCTTCAGCTCTTCAAGAGAGAACCCTCTTCCTGCCCTGACTTTCATGTTGTACTTCTGCGTCTGCCCATGAACAATGGGCAGAAGACGACCAGCTGTGGGTCTAGGGAAAATCTTGACAGCTTTCTTTTGTCTAGCTGCAGAGGTAAGATACCCAGAGATATAAGAAAAGATTATGTTAAGTATTAAAATGCAATCACAATTGGAAGCACTCAATTCCCTCACACCAAATTGTCCCAAGAACTAACCATTGCGTCTCCTGGTTTTTCGGGCAGGTTGGTTAAACCATGTTTTCACATAGTTTTGCCAATGCTTCCTGAAGTGCCCATTTGGAATAACATTGTTATGCTTCACCATGTCGCCTTACCTGTAAACAACACATCTTATACTAAGAAACTGAATGTTTGGCTATTCTCTGAAGAACACAAAAACAACAGAAAAATCAAGACAACACATCCTGAAAATGAAGAACACGACGGGAGAAAAATATGCTAAAATCTAATTGAATTGCAAATAAATTATCAATAATCAAAAGAAATGAGGGATGAAACCAACCAAAGCTCACACACTAATGCAACACAAATTAACCAAACAAATGGCTAAAAACGCAGATTCCAAAAATAATTGCAAATTTGAAACAAAATTACTCGTATGACAAGGACAGTACTCATCTGGAACCAGAGATCCGATTCAAAATCTCTAAATTCGAGCCTCGCATTAGGAAATTTAGAACATGGCATTATTAAATCTCTACTGGGTAGTGAAAAAAAACATCAAAAATCCTTTTTCCATTACTGAATCATCGAAAGATTTCATTTTTAGTTTAAGAATTCTTCATTTACTCAAGCATACGACGGAAATACCTGTTGTCGAATAAGGAGGGCGGCGAGCAGACGAAGAAGACGGAGGCCAAAGAGGAGAAGAGCAATCTATACTGGCGGAAAATCAAGATTGTTTTAGGGTTTGGTGATCGTAAGTTGGGCTTGAGAGCCCAAACTAGAATTTTAAGTTGGACCATATTCTAACAGGCCTGTTTATAATAAGTGGTAATTAATTTCCATTTATTTTTAATTTAATAAAAAATATTTACACCAATTCAGAGTTTCTAATTAATTGCAAAGGTAGGTGAAAGCTTTAGATATAAGGAGTATGGTTTTTAGGATAAATTAAAAAATAAATAAATGGAGTATAATTTATTTCTGCATTTATTCATTTTTAAATATATAATAAATCATAAAAAACAGTAATACGCAATGAAGAAAGTAGAGAACAAACGCGTAAATTAAAATTTGAAATTGAACTGACTTGTCTATCAGATTAGACCTTGTTTCGCTTAACTGGAACGCTTTTCTTAAGATTTTATACTACACATTAAGATTACATACTTCAAATTTAAGATTCCAAACTTGAAATTTACTCTCTCCGTCCCAATTTATAGTGCGTGTTTCGATTTACGATATTTGACTGAAATTATTTTCAAATCATTTTATATGACAAATCGTGTAGAATTCAAAAATAAAAATTACATATTAAAATACTATATCAAAAGATCTACAAAACTAGTAGTGACAATAATACTTTATTTTATCAAATTGCTAACGAAAATAGAGAAAAAAATAAATGAAGTTTGACCCTATAAATAGTAAACATGCATTATAATTTGGGACGGATGGAGTAAGACTTTGGAATCTAGACTTAAGTAAAAGAGTCCTATATTATAATTTTGATTTGATGACCTTGTTGAATAACTCAAATTCGATGTGTAATTCTAGGTAATTCTTCTTTGATTCTTTTGTATACGCTCATTTTATGAGTCTTCACATATAAATGATTTAGCCTCTTAAATTTTAAGAGATCCAACTATGAGCTCAGGAAAAATGTGTTAGAAGGTTTGCATATTATATGTAGACCTTTTTTTAAATACTCATAAAGTTGTGACCTCTTATTAAAAGAGTCACCATAATATGACTGGATCTCAAGATCTCCACTTAGTGATCAAACTTACACAACATACTTATAATTAAAGACTCCAAACTGCAATTAAAAATAAGAAAAATTATTACATATATGCACCTAAGTTCCATAATGGATCTTCATATATGCTAAATAAGAATTTTCAAGTATTAAAATAAGAATTTTTAAATTAAAATAAATGTGAGAAGGTCCACACTATGTGGGCCTTAGGCCCACTATGAAATCGCTCTAAAAATAAAATATAGGGAATAGACAATGACTCGAATAATTTTTTCTGCTCCCATCCCTATGGCTATAGATGAGGATGAATTGGACACTAAAATGTTGACTCTCCATGTCTTGAAAATATTTTACGTTGAGACTTATGATAATTTTTTTAATTTAATTTATTTCTTTTATAAAAAATGAAATTTTATATTCAAAAATTAAATAAAAATCTACATCAGGTATAAAATAAGAAATAGTTGTAACATAGTTATAGTCTATATTATTTCGTTGAATTATTATTGGAAATAGATAGAGAAAGAAGATAATGATCAATTTGATTGTGTATATTTTAAACATAAAAATCTTTTCAGAAGAGAGGCAATACTACATACTCGTAAAAAGAGAAGACCAAAAAGATTGGGATCCAAAAAATTGATCAGGATCGACCGGGATTTGGAGTACAAAGATTGAGACTGAAGTAGTCTTCGAGACTATTCTAGTCCGAGATTGATAGTCTCAAATGATTATTAGTTTGTATGGAGGACTTGGACCAGTCTGAGATTAATATATAGATGACATGCTAAGAATTTGAACTGATCCTTGATTGGTTAAAAGATTGGTCTAAAGACTAGGATTAGTTCGAAAGATCGATCTTCTAAAGACTATACTTCGTATATTATTATATCTGTACATAGCACTTTTAAAATCTAAAAATTATACAAACTTACAAATATGAATGCTATTAAACTACTCCTAATGCTATTAAACTAGTGTTAGAGGTTTGAGACAAAATGTTACAAACACAATCCTTAGAAATGTGATATAAACATATGCTTGTAATAAATGACTTATTTGTGTTAAAAAGTATTTTCTCTATTCCTACAAGATTACGACACTTCACTATTTAAATATCACGAATTTTTTTCACGAAAATAATATATACCTGCCACCTCTTCTTTTGTAAAACTTTTAATTATATAAGTTTTTTTTAAATGTTTCTATACCAAACATTAAATACAATTACTTACCTTTGCGTAATGTATCAATCTTTTAGAGATCGAAGGAGTATTTAAATTCAATTTTAGAAAACTGAACAAATGTATTCTGTTAGATAGAAAAAAATCTATATAAGTACAACCACACTCTCGTATTATACACACAGGGAGTACTACTACTCTACAAGTTTCCAAACACTAAAGTCTATAATTAGTGAACTTTGTTCATCTTAGATCTACTCTCAAAAAAAATCTTTAGTTATAAACAAAACAAATTATTCGTACATTTGGACTAGCGACTATGGGCGAGACTAGATTGGACATATGGTCTTATTTGGTCTTTATTTTTGGTGCGAGAACCAGACTATTTAGGACCGATTTATAAAAAAGACTAGTGTGATCTACTTCTCTACGATAGCAGTCTTTTTAAAAGACCGGTCCAGTCCGACCACATTGGTCCTTTTGCTCTCTTCTACAATCCTTAACTATAGAGTAAAGAATGATAGAGAATTTCCCCATAAACAATTATTGTTAAACTCGTTTGCCTCAAATGTGGAGTTTCAATTACTTTTTTTTTTATAAGAGTAAATGTGAACATGAAGGACAAGAGGAGACCAAAGCTCTCAAAACCAAGGGGTCATTGCCGGCAACTAAAGAGATTTTTTCAAAGTGTTTGTTTCCCAACACTTAGCACTTAGGAGCAGCACCCCTTTGTGTGCCCATACAGAAATCAATTCCCAATTTACAACGTTGTTCCTACTAGTTTGTATCTACTCTTCAATCCCTGTTTTCAAGGCTCCATTTTGCTACTTGTGGCTCCGGCAACAAGCCCTTGCTTGTTGTTCTTGGTCCACCCCTCCAATATTATAATCTACTCAAGGCCGGTTCCGAGAATTTCATGGCCCGGCTCGAGACGAAAAAATGGACTCTTTTAACCCTGATGACCAATTAAATTATACTCCGTACTCAGTGTGAGTTTATTTTGTGAATCAGTGATTCGTTATTCTTTTTTTTGAAAAACAATACGCTACATAATCTAGTAAAAGTTTCAAAATTCAAACAAAAAAATATTCACGAAGTCATTAATTTACTAGTTTTTTCCTAAACAATACACTAATAGGGAGTGAATTGAAATAATCAAGGGTTCGAATTCAAGCTGTGTAGTTGAAATCTGTACCGCAATATAATTGTTTATTTGTTTATGCATGAATTAAGATCAACCAATTAAGTAGCTCAAGTGGATTAGCTATGTGAAAGTAGAATAAATTAAATAAAATTGGGTTAGAGAATTTAAGAAAAATATTGGGCCCCGATTATTGGCGTACATAACGTTAAAGTGTTGAAGATAAATATTAAAATTAATGTCAAACGAATAATATGGATATGGTCTACTTCATCACAAAATTTAATTTTAGTTATCTAGATTTTTTATTTTACATCCCGTTAAAAATAATAAGAAAATATAAAGAAAGAAAATGTAAGGCGAGAAAGTACACATCAAACATTCTCTATTGTTTGTTTTGGTGATATAAAACAAAGGGTGTGATAAATCACTCCCGTGCGTTGCACGGGTCATACTTATATTACTAAATTAATATCATTTTTGAAGGATATAATTTTTTATCTAATACTCCCTTCGTCCCTGAAACATCCCTCCCTTTCATTTTTTCTTTGTCCCACAAACTCCTTCCTTTTTCTATTAAAAAATTACTTTTATCTCATATTTTTTCATAGCTTATCTATCACATCATATCTTTTTACTAATAATCTATCTATCACATCTTACTTTTATCAATCACATCAAGAGTATTTTTGGAAAGTCAACACCAAATATTCCTCCCTTAATTTTCCAAAAAATCAATAAGGGAACTTCTTTTGAGACGGAGGGAGTAGAATATAAAGATTTTATTATTTTAAGGTACAAAAATTAATTGTTTTACAAATAACGAAAGACTTCTTTATAAACTATATTACTCGTATTAATTTTTATATATCAAACTTTTAAAACACTTATTTATTTAAAGACTTCTTCATGATTTTCTACATTACTCGTATAATTTTTATATATCAAACTTTTTATATATTAAACTTTTAAAACATTTATTTATTTAAAGACTTCTTTAGTGATTGAGAATGACTGCATTTAAAGTATGAAAAAAATTAAAGTATTTTTCTATTTCCATGCATCTAATTTTTTTCGGGTAAGTTATTAATCAATGGTTGATTGTTCAACATATAAAGGTATATATTATTCAATATGTTTCCATGTATTAAAGGCACACCTCTTAAAAAGATGTCTCCATAAAACATTTGGGCCTGAATCTCTAAATGTAAACATTATTAAATTGAAAGCTTATTGGTTAGAATTATTACACGATAATAATAACTAAGTACGATAATATTATTACACGATATATTATTATTATTATTCTTTCACGACAATAAATTAATAATGGTTAAAATACATTAATATTATTGCATGGTATATTTGTATGATTATTTTTTCACGGTAATACGTGATTTATTCTTGCTACAAAGTAATTTATGATTTAATTATTATTTCTATATTCAACACTTAACATATTTACATATGTGCCACCATTTCTATGTATTACTTTGACATATTTTTATATTTAATTTCTTTTATTATTTTTTATTTTGATTTTTTAATTGTGCCTTCTTAATTAAATGCATAAACTTATATATTTAAAATTCTTTATAAAATATTTGGCACCGAATCTCTAAATGAAAACATAATTAAATTGAAAGCTTATTTTCTTAACATAATCACACCTTAATAAATTAATAATGATTAAATATGGTAATATTAAGTTTGGCCATGTTATCTAAATGGAAATATTTTTAAATTGAAAGCTTCTTAGATTATAATTATTAGACGATAATAATGACTAAGTACGGTAATTTTATTACACAGTATATTATTATCATTCTTCTTACATGGTAATAAATTAATAATGATTAAATACGGTAATATTATTACACGATATATTAATATTATTATTCTTGTTACACGGTAATACATGATCTATTCTTATTACATGGTGATTTATGATTTAATTATCATTTATTTATTCAACACTTACTATATGTACCACCATTTCTATGTATTACTTTGACATTTTTTTAGATTTGATTTCTTTCCGAAAAGGAAACGAATGGTTTGTATGATTAAAATGATTTGTTTCTTAATTCGAAATTACATAAATTACGAAACTGTAAATTTAATGCATTAATTAAAAAATTTACAACTTAACGTGATTATTACCTTTTATGGACAAATATTATTTTTAGTTGAANTGCGAAATTTTCTTTAATTTATCATTCTAAATAAGAATAGAGTAATTAATTAATTATGCATGCAAAATTATTCTAAAAAGGAAACAACGTAGATCTTGTTTGCAAAATTAGTCCCTTCCTTTTTTACCAAAATTAAGTAATTATGCATTCGAAATTTCTTTTAATTTATCATTCTATTATTCTTAAAAGTATTTTCTTTTAAGAATAGAGTGATTAAGTAAATAATTACCTATTTAATTAGGCATAAATAATTACTTTTTGATAAAATAATCAGGCGTAATTTATCCCAAGTAATTATAATAATCAGGCATAATTAATTACCTATTTAAAAAGGAAACAAAATATAAAAAATCTCTTGCACCGTTCCTTCTTTTTTTTTATCACAATCAAGTAATTAGACGGAATTGGTTAGGAAACAAATTACTCCCTTCCTTTTTTATCAGAATAGAGTGATTATGCATGCAAAATTTCCTTTAATTTATCATTCTAAATAGGTAATATTACACAACCAATCATAGCCGGAGATCTTATTTGTTCTTTCATATCGACGGCGGAGGAGATGCGTGCATTGGGCGGGAAAATAATTCCCCTGCTTTTAAGAATAGAGTGATTTTAGAAAACTTACCATTTTTACGCGTTTGTGCCAGTAAATTATAATATTTTTTAATGATAAATAATTAATTTGTAGTTTATTTGAAATAAATCATTTTAATCCTGCCCATACTTTCTTAATTTGTAATTTTTAAATTTTATTTTAATATTTAAATGGCAGTGTATTTTATTTCCATACTTCAATTCCCCAATGGTTCACTACTATTTAATTTAATTTAATTTAAATGCTTAAATGGTGTAAGATTTAAATAAAAATAAAAATAAAAACATACTTAAAATGGAAGGAAAACATTAAGGTAAAATAATTAAACTACCATTTATGTTGTCAACAATTTCCATATATGAGTGTCATGCATGGGCGGGAAAAAATTCATGTCTTTTTAAATAATGTATAGATGTATAGATTTCTAAGTAAATTTATACCACCCTGTTAAAGAAAGATATAAAAAAAAATTAACAAATAAATTTTTTCAAATATACAATGTAATTTTTCTTTAATATTCTATCAATTTTTTTCCAAGATGACTATAAAAAAGACAAATTGGATGAATATTTCAGGATAAGGTAATATCTAAATTTTAATTTAAAATTGGGATTGATAAAAATATCCTATAAAAATGATACCACCTACCAAAGTCATGACCAGCTTTATGTTGTTTCTCAACAAATGCATGATTAAAAATATTATTTATAGAAGACAATAACACACAAGTAGTATAGCTTGAAGTCTTTCAAAAAAAGTTGGAAATAAAAAACACTTAGTTGAGTACACTCTCAATTATTTGAATATTATTTATTTTACATTAGTGTTGGTGTCTATCCTACAAAAAATCCTGTTATAATTTTTTTATTCTAGAAAATATATTGCAGAAAAAAATTTCAGAATCGATAAAAAAATTGTTTGACCCCGTGCATGGCACGGGTTAAATACTAGTAACGTTAAAGTGTTGAAGATAAATATTAAAATTAATGTCAAACGAATAATATGGATATGATCTACTTCATCACAAAATTTAATTTTAGTTATCTAGATTTTTTATTTTACATCCCGTTAAAAATAATAAGAAAATATAAAGAAAGAAAATGTAAGGCGAGAAAGTACACATCAAACATTCTCTATTGTTTGTTTTGGTGATATAAAACGAAGGAATAGAGGAAAAAAGTTTTCTCTCCAACATAAGTGAGAAAATGGTACCATCCCTCTTCCACCATAAAATTTTTATGTTTTCATCTTTTTATCTCTTTTATGTCTATTTTCTTTTCATTTTTCTATAAATCATAACACTAGTTTTTTCTCTTCATTTTCTTTCATCTCGTTTTATCTGTCCATCTAAGCAAAGATTAGTTTTAGAGTCTATCTTGCATCAAAAAATTGAAAAGAATATAATAGGTTCACAAGCTCTTGTATTGATGTGATTAATAGATTGAATTTAATATTTTAATGTGGTGCAACTCGAGTGTGCTATGATCCAATATAGTGATTCCTACCTCATCCAAAATTATATCATGGTTTCAGAGCATGCCTTGACCCACATCATTTGTCAAGGTATCTGTCTAGCCATTCATTTAGAGCGGTCCTAGCCTTTAGCTCAGGTGTCTGTGTGGAATGCATATCTAACGATATGTGGCATGTTTAACGTGATTGCTTATCTATAATAAGTTAGTACACATTCGCTCGTGGTCCTTTAGATGCTGGCCCTAAAAAAATCAAGGGGGTCGGATGAGGATCTATTGGCATTTGGTCAACTAGTTAGATTAAAAAAGGCTTAATAATCCACTTGAGTGGAAGTATTGGAGTCTATCTCACATAAAAAATTGAAAAAATATAACAGGCTTATAAGCTCTTGATTTAAATTGTTTAATTATTTAGATGTAATCTTTCAATGTGCTTCAACACAAGTGTGTTATAACCCAGTCCAATGATTCCTACCATATCTAAAATTTTATCACTTCACATTTCATTCAACATACTTCATTTCTTCTCGATCACGAGCATACAGATGTCAATGGGTTGGGTGGAGCTTCACCCTCCTTCACTCTTCACTCGTTACTTGATCCATCTATCATCTATTGCATACTTCATTTGTTCTCAATCACGTGCATAATGATGTCAATGGGTTGGGTGGAGCTTCACCCTCCTTCACTCAATCACTCTTAATTCGTTACTTGATCCATCTATCATCCATTGCATACGTCATTCATCACTCGATCCATGTATCATCTATGGATGAGACGAGTGTAACTAATAGTAATTTTTTATTATTACAAATTAAATTTTAGTAAACTATCGTAAAGAAAAACATTGTAATATTAATGAAACATCTATTTTGTATGATAATAAAAGTATTGAAATTCTTAGTAACCTAGAAACACAATAAAAAGTACAAGCTCAACAACATCCACAAAATTGAGAGTGAAATACAAAGCTCTCTTTGATATGGTATGGGGCTGGAACTAGTCGGGATGGCAACCGAGGACCATTGTGACACAATTATCAAAGCTCTCGTGGATAGAGTTACATTGAAAAGATGGAGAAAAGGTGGGAAGATAAGAATCAAGTGACCAGAAATATTGGATTTCACGTCGAGGTCCACGTTTACTAATCAAGTGCTTTAGAGAACTTCAGCAAGTACTAGACGATAATGAATGTCAAGACATAATGCTCCCAAGAGATATTGTGTAGTTCTTTCCCAGCCACGCTTAAAGGACTAATTTGCAAATAGTTTAGTGACTTACCCAAGTGTAAGCTTGACTCCTTGAAAGATTTAGCTCAAAGATTTGTCATCCATTTCACCAACAACAAGACGAGGAAAAAGTATTATTTGATTCCCATATACTCTTTGTGAGGTAAAAGCTAGACAACCTACTGAAAGATTTCTCTCCTAAGATGAAAGGTTGAGATGAGCAAGGTGTATAACAAATTTGTGTTGAGAGTTGGCGATTTCTCAAAAAGGTTGACCCTAGAGAAGATTAATGATTATGAAAAGGCATTGGAGCTAGATGAGGTTGAGGCTAAAGTTTAAGAAATTGAAATAATGAAGAGGAAAGAAGCATTGAGATCATTGGGAGAAGTCCAAACTCCGCAATATGTTGGGCATTTAATTTGATGATCATACCTTGGTTAAATGGACGATTAAAAACTATAAGAGATTGTCGAAATATTGGAATAATAATATTGCTCCTTGAATTATGGAGTACATGATAGTGTATATATAGGAGAGACTCCTAACACAACTAGGAATAGAGAATAGAAACTAACGACATTGCACTGGTAGCTGCTAACGTCGTTGGAGAAGAGAGAAATTGACGTGCGCTGGTAGCTGGTGATGTCGATGAAGAAGAAAGAAGATTGACATGGGCTGGTAGCTGCTGACGTCGAAGAAGAAGAGAGAAGGTTGACGTGCGCTTGTAGCTGCTGACGTCGAAGAAGAATAGATAAGGTTACTGGAGGTGCCTGTTTGACTGAAGATCCTTGACATTCTTTGTCTTTTTTCTTGGATCCGGGCAATGCCCTATTTCTTTCTTGAAGGGGTGTAGAGGTATTCTTTCCTCTTTCACTAATTCCCCTCTTGGCTTTGCTTTTGTGTTGTTTTTTTAGAATTTGTGGGTAACAAAAGAGAAAGAGAAGAAAGATTGATGATTAGAATGAGTGATTTGAGAGGAAAAAAAAGGATGGGTTGAGAAAGTTTTTGAGGAGTTGCCAATCTTTAAAATTGAAGAAAGAATAACATCGGTCCGGCGGGCGGCTAATGGCGGCGCCGCCCGCCAGAAGCGAGCGCAGAGAGTTTTAGGTCACCTAGAGCGGTGGCTCTGATACCATGTCGAAATATTGGAATAATAATATTGCTCCTTGAATTATGGAGTACATGATAGTGTATATATAGAAGAGACTCCTAACACAACTAGGAATAGAGAATAGAAACTAACTAACATATAACATCTACCACAAATAGGATTAGGAAGCTGACTAATAATGAAACACTACCATAACCAATACTACAAGAAGTACTATTAATATTATTGTGTAACAGAGATCGAAGATTTCAACCTCAACAACTAATGAGTGACAATGGAATAAGAGGTTTCTGGCTATCACCCAAATATCCCCATAATTCTACCTCTTAAAAGTCACTTCCATCTAACATAACCATTGAGATACATTTTGCATTACGTGGAACACGTAGGCTAGCTAGGCTTATGCTGACAAAAGTGCATTAAGATTCGTAAAACCCCCATTAGCCACCTTCACTAGAAATATTGGGGATGCTAATGGTATCATTTTGGTGCTTGTGGCGTTGGAGGATAAAAAACGCAAAATAGAAATTCCAGTGAAATTCTTGGTCGTAAAGTTGGACAAGGCCCACAATAATGGAATTTTGGGAAGGCCAAACTTAAGAGATTTTGATGTGGTACTATGAGTGGAGCTAAGGTTTAGAAATCTGGATAGCTAAATGGCATATATTGTCTCATGCAAGGTACCATACAGAAATGTATTCTTGACATCAAGCTCAGCTCATCAATGCCTAACCACAAGATAAAATAAGGTTGGCCATATAATAGAGTAATTAAGACTGAGAACAACATAGATGGTGGGAGGCTTGACCGTGGGACCGAATGTCTTGCCATAATATACTCCAGAATGCAGATTAAACCTTCAAACCATCCACAGAGCTTTGTACCTTGACAAGTCACATGTAAGCACTTTGACTCATCAAATTCTCTCAAGGTGTAAGCCTAAATATATTCATGTGTGATCTTGTTTGATTTGTTTTAACATATAAATTATTAATATTTAATTTCTATAATTTTTTAATATACAAATTACAAGATAGAATGAATTAAAGAAGTGTATTGGATGTTGTGTAAAAATGAAAGTGGACAAAATACTCTGAGACGGAGGGAGTATTTCCTAAAAAATGAACTCCAAGAAAAAATAGCAAGTAAAATAGTGAACACAGATATATGTATGACTATTTAAAAATTATATTAATATTTTATAATCCTTCTGTCCCATTTTAAATTTTTTGTTTGCCTTTTTTCTCCGTCCCAAAATAAATTGCCTTTTTACTCCCTCTAATTTTGTGGAGAAAAATATGGAGGTAGGTCCGATTTTATTTTGGTACTTTCAATTATATTCTTTATGTTTTACTAATCGTTTAGTCTTTCTCCCAAAGAAAAATACTCCCACACTGTTACTATTTATTTAAGATAATTTTATGACGCGTAACTTGTGAAACGTATTGAAAGGTAAAAAGTGGTGTGAGTGATTGCAAATTAAAAGTGTAATATTCATTACAAAACAACTAAAAATGAAACACTTTGATTCCTATGACATTGGTTTCCAATGTAATGAGAACCGGACTCAAAAAGAAAAAAGTGTGTGTGTGTGGGTGGGTGGGGGGGAGCTAGCTATAGTACACATATATACACTCGGTATATATATATATATATATATATATATATATATATATATATATATATATTGTAACCTTTACCTTAGCCTTTTCAATTATGCTACTACTTTAATTTGGGGTTTTTGCTCTCCACCCTTTTCACTCCTTGATCTTCATCATCCATCCATCTATCCATCTACCACCATGACTGATGATCATCCCCACACCCATTTCTTCCATGAATTCTTCTATCCTCACCTCAACCTCAACCACCATTTCCCCCCTCCTCCCCCTCCACCGCCACCGCCACCACCGTACCCATTATATGAGTTTTGCACCAACAGTTTCTTCCAACACCCTAACTCTCCGCCTCTCCGAGAAGCCCTTCCTCTCCTCAGGCTAAGCCCAACTAGGGCTCGTGGCGAGAAAGAAGAAGAAGAAGAAGATGATGATGATGATGAAGTGAGTGTTGCACTCAACCTAGGGCTCCCTAACCATAGCCCTAAAAACAACAATAATACTAATAGCAAGATGGGTTTGATGGTGATGATGAGTGATGAAGATCATCATCATCACCACCATGACACTAATTATAACAACAAAGATGATCATGAAGATGGTGATGATAATGATCAAGAAAAGCACCAAGTGATGATGACTGTTTTGCACAAGGGGCAGTATTGGATCCCAACCCCTTCTCAGATTCTGATTGGGCCCACTCAGTTCTCTTGCCCTCTTTGCTTCAAGACTTTCAACAGATACAACAACATGCAGGTATGTATATATATATGTGTGTATATATGCATCTTTGTATATATAGGTATGTCATATATATTGCACTTAATATAATTCTCCATTCCTAGATAATATTGCCTTTATTTCTTGTTCCAAAAAATTTTCATTCACAAGAAAAGATTATGAGAGAGATAATGAAGGGAGAGGTAATAATTTTTCTTTTTGGTGTTTTTTTTTGAAAGAAAAAGAAAAATAAACAAATGATGATGGGATGAAGAACAGTGAGATGTCCTTAAGGTCAAAAGCTCCCACTCTCATAATAAGCTCTTTTTTCACACTTTTTTTTTTTATTCTTCTTCTTCTACTTCTGCAGCAAGCAGTAGATAAATAGCCTTTTTGTTTTTGCAGAAAAAAAGAAAAAAACCCATTCCTTCTCTTTGTTTGAACTCTTTAATATTTTTTTTCTCTCTCCATGATTTCAGCTTTTTTTTCTCTTTTCTTTTCTTCCTTTCGTTTTGCTGCCCTTTTTGTCGGTCATGAATTTTACCAAAGAGTGGTGTGTGTTATCTGATTGCAATTCATGCTCCTATCTATTTACCACTCCTATTTTAAAAAATTTTACCCCTAAAAATTTACTCTATCTTTTCACGGCCTCCAAGATTGTACTTTGATCACTAATATTTTTATTTATATATAGATATATTTTATAAAATCTCATATTTGAAAACTACGTTTCAATAGAAATATATTGATATTAAAGTTATATCGTAATATAATGTATTTTTTCACATATCGGAGTCAAAGTTTACAAATTTTGACAAAAAAAAATCAAATGGAAAGAACATTTTTGGACAGAGAGAGTAAATTTTATCCGACATTCCGCGCGCCTGATTAATTCAGAATTATAATTTATTTGAAAGCAACTCAAAATTATGTTAAATGATGTGTCATGACGATATTATTTTATCAAATAGTCACTGAAAATATTTTTAAAAAATAGGTCAAATAATTTGAACATGTAAAAAAATCGGAGTGGTCTTCCTGCCATTTAAGTCAAAGAAAAAATTCTGCGGTATGTAACGTTTCAAAACATGTTAAAATAATATCTTAAATTTGATTAAATAACGAAATTAAAATCATAATTAGATTTGACAGTTTAAAAGAGGAAAAGAGTAAGATTCTTAAGTTTTGAATCATCAATTAATTGATATGTGACTTATTTTTTGGATGATGTGAGTAATATTTATGTTTATATTGCTGAAATTATTATAAAGGATTAGTTTGAAAATATCTTTAGAAGTTGGAGATAGTGTTTTGAAAAAAACTATCTCACAGTAACATTTAACTTTAACCTTTTCAAAATTAGTCTCTAACATTAAAATGTTATCTAAAATACTTAATGCTAATCAAAGATATTATTCTCAAAGAGGACCTTTTAATTATAGATAATTAAATGCATTTTAAGATAGTTCACTTTAATTGGCCCTCATATGTTCACTTTTGTTGAGTACATGATATGTTTATTCATTTCAAGCAAATTCACTCTAATAATTTTGAATGAGCTCAACTTTACTATCATTATTACTTGTGCACCCCATCTTGGCCATCTATTGCACTTATTACAACTTTAATCTATGTTCCATAAACTACTTTTACCATCCCAAAATATTTTTTTTTAAAAAAAATCTTTAATTCCATAAGAAATAAAGTGGATAAATGGCCAAAGATCTTGTACTCTAGTGGCACTATTATGACTCTCTTAAATGTGTGTTTAATTGATTGATGATGTATGAAGAGATATTAGCTTATAATAATATTTTTAGTGTTCAAAAAAATGGATAGAAGATACAAATCTTTATAATTATACTCCAAAATGTCATAAACAAGTTAAATGTGTTAATTTTAGTAATCCGATACTCGCACTTCAAAATTCTAAATTCTTTTCTCTTGGACTAAAATATCCCTTTAGAATTTTAAGTAAATTAAAATTTGGATAATATAATGTTTTAGTCACACCACAGATAATACACCACGAGTATTTTATAGACACTGTATATATTTATAATTTAAGTTGACACATTCAATATTAATTTTTATGATAATTATATTTGATTATTTGATAAAATAATTTAGTTTGTTTTTCTAATAATAAAAGTTTTGTATATTAAAATTATGCATTACCAGATGGGCTTTCATTTAAACTTTATATATAAATGTAAAATCACTTAATATTAAAGATAAGTACTCCGTATATATTCGATTTATATTTCAAAACTCTCTTTATAAGAAGAATTCGGTATCCATTCAAAATGTATGGAAGACTCTATACATAAGTTTACTTCATATAGCTCAAAGTATTTTGAAAAATAACATTTGTGTGATTTAAATTTGTATAAAATAAGAAGAAATATTGTGAGTCATGCATGTACTAATTTTGATTTTTTTTAAAAGATAAATGAAGAAGTTTAATTTTTTTAGACGTTATTACAAAATTTAAGATGAATCTTTATTTTAAGAGAAATGTACATGAATATGACATTTTGCTTTAACGTACCAACTTGAGAAATAATTTTACTTTTTGAGTATCCTTCAATTTTGGAACTCTAATCTAAAAATAATTGCACCTTCATCCGGATTTATTTGTCCCATTTGACTATTTGAAATCAAAAACTATAAACTTTGATCATTAAAATAATACATTGAATAATAATAAGATAATCATTTGCATTTCAACACAAACTCATTAACTAATTAAACAATTTATCACATTTTTTAAAATTTTCACTAACATTTCATAAAGATGCTCAAATATAATGTTCACCTAATCCGGATGCATAGAGTCATTAACATAGCACGAATGTCTTTCTAACGCCCCATTTGGAGGGGGCTTAGGGCGGGACTGGGGTGGGGTAGACGCGGGGTTAAGGTTCAGGGGTTGGTTAGATGTAGGAACCATCAATTTTCCGATTGGAATAATGGATCTGTTTTAAAAATGCAGTGACAACGCTAGTGTCACTGTTAGCGAGTGTCAACGGAACCATACTCTATATCAATATTATAAACTTCTTAAACTCAATTATTATACACTTATATTCCATTATCTTTAACTGCCTGTTTACTTTTCGAGCAAAACATAAGCGAGTGAAAAACATAGGTAAAAGTAGTGAATGAACATCATGCTGCATTAACTATTAAGGTTGCGTTCCGTTTGCGTGATCTAATCTAATTTAATTTTTTGAAAATTTAGTATGATTTGGTCTGATTTGATATGATTATGGTTATATTTCAAAACAAGTTATTTCTGATCTAATCTAGTTTGGCCTGATTTGATTTTTATAAGAATGAGTAATTAGATGAAAAATAAGTTGAAAACAATGCCGCCAAAGTTATATTTAAAATTGTTTCTGATCTGATCTAATTAGATTTGATTAAATCTGATATGATTTGATTTTAATACGAATAAGTAATAAGTAGAAAAAAAGAAGTTGAACGGAACATGCCGCAAGTAGTGTTTCTTTGCGCTTATAAATTAATCAAAACGGCTTATAAGCAATTTTAACTTATAAGTCAGATGATAGACATCTTTTTATGTGTTTATAAACTATCTATAAATTCTTTACAAACTAGAAAAAAATAAGTATTACATTTTTTTAGTTCTAGCTTTTTTGTTTATCCATTTTGACCAGATTATATTAAAAAATTATCGGCCTCACTACTTAAAAACGTCCCGATTTTATAAAATTGGTATTTTCTCGTTTCCGATTTTGCCCTCGTCTCGGTACAACTTAAAATGAATGAAATAATTAAAGGAAATAAAAAAAGGTGAAATGTGGGGATGGTCAAAACATGGGGGCAGGTAATGTACAATCAGTGACCTCTCTTTAATTTGATTGAACCACACACAGCCCTTAGCCCATTATTCCCTTTTTGTCCTCTGTCTTACTATAAGTACCATTGGCTGCTGTGTCAAAAACTGCCCACCTTCTTCCTTCACATAACTACTTATAATTTCTATAAATAATAATGAGTAAAAAAAATCCCTTCATTCCTCCATGAATCTTTAAATTAAAAAATATCTCCAAGAGTCAACTGCCTTGAACTATCCATAACTTGAATAAAGTCAATTGTTCAATTCCCACAAGACCTATCATTGGACACTCTAATTAATGCATAATTTATCAGTAGAATAATGCTAAAAACCAACACGGGCACCACAGGGATGACGATTACAGATTAACTCTAAGAGCGTTAAAAAACCTACCGAGTAATGGAGTTAAGGTCTCGACTTCTGGTGTGAACCACGTTACAAATTGAGTTTATTTTCGTTTATGTCGTGTTTGGATTCGATTCCTTTGGATTTGGTTTTCTTCGGTTTTGAGTTACTTTGAATTGGGTTTAGATTGATAAATCGGCAGGTTCATGAAACGGTGTCATCGAGTTCCTATCAACCTAAGGGGCTTTGAACATTTTTAGGTTACTTGAATAAATTTGTTAGGAGTTGCATTTTGGTTAAAAATTTAAATATATAAGCTATTATAATATATTTTAAATCTTTTAATAATTTATATATGTATACAACAATATTATAAAAAATACAACAATTGAATACAAAGCACGTATAATTGTTGAGAAAAGTAAGATATCGATACGATATCGTCATTAAAAACACGATTGAAAAGATAAATTTATATACTACGGAGTAATAAGACATTTCTATCGGGTAGAGTCATCTTCCGATAAGGCTAACCAAGTCTTTATTCATAGCTGAGTATTTTTTTAGTCGATTCTCGGGCAAATAAAAAATCGGATTAATTTTTGTCGAGTGATTTTTTTTGTTTAATCGTTCCCGTGCGAGTATATTTGTTCAGTTTTGCTCATAAATACCCATCACTTCAATGAGATTAAGAATCATGGGGAGTATTTAAAAAAAAAGCATCCATCATTTCCATAGGATTAAGACATAATGTAATAATGTAAACCCCACAAAGATTACAGCTTTGTTTCTAAATCTTGTTTTCTGTGGCTCTGAAAACTGTGCT